ATGACCCATTTAGGGGATTTCCTGGCAGTCCAGTGGTTAGGACTCAGAGCTTTCACTGCTGAAGGTGCTGGTTCGATCCCTGGTCAGGGAACTAGGATCCTGCAGCCACATGGTGTGGCCAAAAAAAACCCCCCAAAAGGTGGCCCATTTAATTTTTGGCGCACTAAGTGTTACTCCTTTCTGATTGAACTGAATTAAACTTGCTTGTTAGTTATACCCATTCATTGTTCTGATATCTGGAGCTATCCAGAGTGCAGTTAATCTTTTCTCCTAAGTGACAGCTTTTAAAATATTTAAAGTTAAAGCATCCCTGATGGTTCTCCTCAGCTCAATTCAGTTAAAATAATTTTCATATGGTAGTTTATCCATCTTTCACCACACTTATAACCTTCTTTATGTTACCACTTGTTAAAGTGTGGCACACAGAACTTAAACATAATTTTAGAGATCTGGTCAGAACAGACTTTGGTGAGCTGATTATTGTTGTTGATCAGTATAATATGCTTCATTATTTTGGACCATTAATACATTTTTAGTAGCCCTATTTCATGGATGACATGTTGACCTGTAGTCTGCTTCAGTTCCTTAATCTTTTGTAAGTAGTCAGCTGCTAAATTGTCTTTTACGTCTGTGACTGCTTTTAGCAACTGTGGGCAGAACTATATGCTTGCTTTTATTATATTAAACCTAAAAGTTTGGTTCATTTAAAAACCATTGGTTCATTTAACATATCAGTGATTTATATCTTAATGGGAATGAGTTTAAACTAACTACTAAGATTAATTCTTAGCATCCTGACTGGCAGCTCTTAAGGAATGGAAGTGTAAGACAAAGAAGAGAAGATCACTTGAGAACCTAAAATAATATCATGACATTGCTTCATTAATTCAAGAAATATTTATTAAGTCCCTATCATGTGATCATGGTTGGGATATGGCCCTTTCCCCTCACAGAGCTTACAGGTTGGGGAGGCAGTAAGCATCTGGGAACCTGATAGAAGAGGAAGGGCTTCAGAATGGGAACCACCAAACTAGGACTGTGTTGAGATAGGTGGCGCAGTGGTAAAGAATCTGCCTGCCAATGCAGGAGACGTGTGGAGGAGATCCCCCTGGAGAAGGAAATGGCCACCCACTCCAGTATTCTTGCCTGGAGGATCCAATGGACAGAGGAGCCTGGCGGACTGCAGTCCATGGGGCTGCAAAGAGTCAGACATGACTGAGCACGCGAAGAATGCTAGAAGAAAGAATGAAAAAGAAAAAAAGGAAACCATTGAGGTATTTAAATGCACATTAGTTTTCTCTACCATTTGTATGTTCAGGTACTTATCTTTCAGGTACTTACCAGGTACTAATCTTTCAGATTGGAAAAAAAAATTGTTTAGATGTTGCCTATACTTAACAGTTCTAAAATAGTAATAACTCATTTTAGCTACGCACTTACCAAGCTTATCATACAGTACTTTAATGCTTAACATAAAAAGGCAAATTATTTACATCTTTTTTTTTTAATGGGATCTAATCTTTCAAAGTTTAGAAATAGAGGGTAATGATTAGTATTCTGAGATTTTTTTCAAATAATAAAAATAAAGCAGCTACCGAGCACAAACTATATTGAACATTGTGGATACTAGCACTGTAGTGAGAGGAAGACATCCAGTCTCTCTGCTTAGCTGGGAGAATCTTTGTTGTTTTTTAGTGGCTAAGTCATGTCCGACTCTTTTGCAACCCTATGGACTGTAGCTCACCAAGCTCTTCTTTCTGCGAGATTCTCCAGGCAAGAATACTGGAGTGGGTTTCCACTTCCTTGTCCAGTGGATCTTCCCAACCCAGGGATTGAACCCACATCTCTGCATTGGCAGGCAGATTCTTCACCACTGGGAAGCCTTGGAGAATCTTTACTCTCATTTGATTCTAGTATTAAATGATTAACTTTGTTTTCCTTCTCATTTTTTTTCTCTAGTAAGTAGTAAAGATTACAGGTATGTAAGCCCCTAACTAAACAGCAATAGGATTTAAAAGTGATTTTGTGGAGGGTTTTGCTCATCCCTTAGTACAAGATATACCTTATTTTTTAATAGATTTTTCACTTATAAAAATAAGACATTTTTGCTTTCTTAGTGTTTAGCATATGAGTTGAGAATTTATTGTTTTTAAGCTTTAAAAATTATCTAATCTACACTGTCCATTAGCTATGCATCTGTATGTAGCCATGTCTCTATATGTGTGTATATGTAGCCACGTGTCTAATTTAAATACAATTTAATTGGAATAATTAAACAATTTACTTGTCTTACACTGGTCATGTTTCAAGTGCTTGATAACTATGTATGTCAAATGGATACCATATTGGGCAGCACAAATTATGGAACATTTTTGTCATTGCAAAACATGCTCTATTGAATGATGCTGATCTGGGGAAAATAGTTTTTATTCAAATTTCTGAGTATCCTTACACTGAAAGTACTATGAATCCTAGAGGAAAGGGGAGGATTTTACTTGTGCACATTAAAAAAAAATTTTTTTTAAAAGGTGAGAATATAAAAGTAATCCTTTTAACAAATATTTTTACTTAATAGAAGTTTGCCTGAACTTTGTTCTGAATCTAAACTAACTGCATATCTTCTATGTTTACAATTAGCCCTTTATTGAAACTTTTATTATAAAAATACTGTTTCATTCTAGATTATTTTATGAGTTAGTAGTCTTGGAAACTTGCTCCATTTACTTACTTTCCTTTAAATGCTTAAAAAAAATTGTTTGCCTGTATCTAATGTCAGTGGTTACCTCAAACACTTCAAATAAATTCATGAGGTTTCACTGTGAAATGGTGACATTGGTGCTTAGAACCTTTATTCTGCCTTCTTGCTCATCTTCATTTCGTTTGATATTTGGCTCTGTCAGCATCATCTTCAACCATCAACATTTAGTTGGTAGGTTTAGGTACATGCTGGCTTTGTTGGAAATTATTGTGAATCTCTTCATCAAGTCCAAGTGTATTGGTACGTGAATTGTTCATTCTCATTTTTACCTGGTGTTGTGTTTTGTGATGATCAGAGTTGTGTATAGTACTCACTGTAGATGTGTTCCTTTGTTTTTTGATAAGCGGAAGATAGGTAATAGAGTATCATGGTAGTGGCGTCAATGTTTGGTGATAAAAGGCCATATAGAACGTTGCCATCTTTTTGCTCAGATTATTAAAACTTCATGTTTATGTCTTGAATGCTTTTTCACCATGAAACTTTATTTGATTGTAAAGTTAATGCTAATCATCCATAAGAAATTAATCAGAGAGTAGTAGTAAAGTTTCTAAATATCTTACTAAGAGTTTAAAAAACAAAGACTATAACTAGCTTTATTTATAATGCCATTTTTAGCTTTAAAAAGTCATTTTATTTAGTGTAAAATTAAGAATTATCATAGTCCTATAATTTTATAAATTTCATTGATACTAAAAACACAAAAGTAAATTATTAAAAATGCAGAAGTAAATTATATTTTTGTTCTCTAACCATCTGCCAGATCAGATTATATATGACTTAAAGAGGATCTTGAAATTTCATTCCTCCAAATTATAGTAATTTCTGAGATGTCAGTGTAGCATTTAGACTCTTTTATAGGGAAACAGAATGATAAGTTTTCAGTGACAGTGATTTGGTACATATGCACATGTAGATAGGTAAGAGTAGAATAAGAATGGAAGACAGTCCTTTTAATAAGTGTTAGACTTTAACGATGGTAGAATTATTCCCAAATTTGCTTTGTTTAGAAAGACTTCTCTAAACTTGATAAATACTTGTGTATGTGCTTTGGATAGATAAATTTTAGGATGTAAATTTTGAAACTCTTCACCAAAGGCTCTATATTTTACAGGAGAGGAAAAATCAAGGCATTTTAAGTGGGTACTCTGCCCCACATCATGTTTTCTTATCCCATCAACAGCTCTTGAAGCAGTGGTGAAAGGAATTTTTGATAATGGAAACTATTTTTTTTTTTGTATACCAAACCTGAGAATGTACTCATACATTTGAGAAGCCATGCACATTTCTTCTTTTAACGACTCCAGAAAACTAACATGTAACAACATTATAAAGTAGACTGTTAGGAGGGAAATTTTGACAAGATTATTGGGATGCCTGAAACAATCTTGGAAGAGTTAGTTTTTTTATCTTAACCTAAGTAGAAGGTAGAGAAACAATTATTAAGTGCTAAGCACTGTGATGAACCCTTAAGTCTTCTCATTTTAATTCTTTAATCAGCCTTTTTAGTGTTATTAAAACTGAAAATCAAAGAGGATAAGTTACCTAGGATCTCGTGTAGCTAATGACAACTGGAATTTGTCAAACTCCAGAATTCTCTTCTTCCCATTATTCATTTTTTCCCTGTACTTTCTTGGATTACAAAAAAAGAATGATATCCTTAAAATATGATTTTCTTCAGGGAAGAAGCAGTGAGAGTGAATGCATATGTATGTATTGGAGTGGGGGTCAAATTTGGAATAGAGTTAAAGAGTTGGTGGGTTTGAAGTGTATTGTTAAGAAGATAATTGAAAGTTTATGGTAGTTTAAATGGGTAAAGGTTATGGTAAAAAAATAGCTCCTCAGTATAAATGGTAGTTATTATTACTCTGGAGATTCTGTGAATTCTCATATAAATCAATAAAGTTCTTCCCATCTTTGGATATATTTTTTTATATCAACACGGACCACAGTAAAAATTTAGATTTACAGCTAATGAATAAAGCTATCAAAGTGCTCCTTCATTATCTTCTTTGGCAAATATTTCCATCTTACAGATAGGAAAAGGACTTATGCTATAATTAGTGGCTCTTTTAATAAACATGTAGGTATTTTAGAAGATTGATGCATTGGCTGTATCTGAGGGAGAAATAAAATATATTGATTTCTTGGGTGATTGAGTGGAGGATTATATGCATAATCTCAGGAAGGAAATACATTTTAGGGTTTTGTCTTTTTCTTAAATGTTTGTGTTTTTTTTTTCTAGGCTGTTCGCTGCTACGAATCTCTAATCTTAAAAGCTGAAGGAAAAGTGGAGTCTGATTTCTTTTGTCAATTAGGTCACTTCAACCTCTTATTGGAAGATTATCCAAAAGGTAATTTTTCCCCTTGTTAATTACTGTTTGATTTATATATGTATTCAAAATAATTGTAATGTACTCTATTGAAGGTATTACTATTTTTACTTCTAAGAAATTGCAAGCTTATGAACACCTCTAAACAATGAGAAAAAAAATAGAATAGGTGGAAATGGGAAAAGTTCACATGACTCCATGTAAATCAGCAAGTTGACCATTCAGCTAAACTGATAAACACCTACATATGTACTGCTGTTTTATTTTGCCATGTGAAAAGTGCCTGTGTTTTAAAGGCTTGACCATAATAGAAAGTGAGCCATTGATGGACAGTTTGGGAAAGTAACACAAACCCTGCATTTCTTTTCTTTATCTTTTAACTTCCGTTTTAGCTTGAAAATATTTGAATGAAAATCTGATCTGTAGCCATGTTATTATAAAGGTAAGTAACAGAGATGATCACACATGAGCTTGAGCAGTGGATAAAACATTGTTTTATTCATTTGAAGATTTTTTTTTTCCTGTTGGAAATAAGTGAATTAAATAACTGAAGGTAGTCCCCAAGATACGTCCTTTTTATGCTACCAAGCTGCTGACACAGGCCACTATCCACTTGGGAAGTTAAAAGCACCCCCAAATACCATACACCTCAATACCAAAGGCAAAAATCCATAGCAAACCAGTAACATTTTATAACCAATAACATTTTAACACTTTGATGATAGTAAACATTTTAATGGAAGTGGATGGACTTATGCTTGTTTTCCACAAATGTATTTAGTAGGCTGAAAAACTAAGTGTTTCAGGGCTAGAGCAAAGGATTGTTGATGTTTAATTATGCCTCTTTTATAATAGGTCAGATACTTTCCTAATGAAAATGTGATTTTACTTTGAGACAGGTATACCATGGAGTTTGAAGTTAGTCTTATTTATTTCCCAGCTCAGCTCTACGGTTCAGTTGCATTACTTTTAACAGATTATATAAATATCCCTAAGCTTCTGTCTGTAATCTGTAAAAGGAGGGGAGGAAGTACTAGCTGCTTAGGTGTTTTGGGATTCCTCTGTGAAACTGGTTAGTACTTAGCAAAATGACTTGAGGATAATAGGTATTAACAATTAGTTAATCTATTGGATGTTTTAATTTTAGTTAAAATGGTTCCTTAAAGGAAACCATTATACAAAAGAAATAATACAGAGTTCTGTGCAGTTTGATTTTTCAATGCTGCACTTTGTGCTTGGAGACTACACTAGTTTTAGAGCTTATAGACAGAGACCCAGACTTAGATTTGCATATGAGGCTGTATGTCCTTATTGCTTAGTGGTCATTTAAAAACTATTTATATTAGCTTTTGAAACTTCATTCATCTATGGATTTAGCTGAGTTTTCCTTTTATAAAATGTTTGACTGTGAAGGTAATGAGAAGTCTAGAGATACTTGTTTTGAAGGTGGGATGGGAGTATGTTGCAACTAGACAGTGTTGACAACCTAGCTGGTAGGAATAATCTAAATAGATGGGAGAGGAGAAGGATAACCTAAGGATTTAAGCATTTGAAAAGATCTCCTCTGTGACCCATTTACTTACTGTGTAGATAATAGGAAGAAGAGGAAGGAGAGAATGGATGCAGAGGCATACATTTGTATTTCAGGCTGATGGCTTCTTAGGAAATAAGATGTGAGTTGTTTGAATTCATCCTTGAGGCTTTATTGACCGCATTCCCACTTAAAAAAAAATTCTTTAAAAATACTTAATTACTGAATTCTTTCTATCCATTCTTTTCACTGTCTTCCTGTAAGTCCAAACTATAGTCAGTCTCTAGTAACCATTTAGACACACCGACACCATCACTGCAAATTTATGGAGTCATTTGTTACCTAAAGGCTACTTCCTCCTCTTTTCACTGAAAACAGTGCAAGATGAGAACCTCCCCAGCTCCAGCTAAATGTTTATTTTTAGAGAACAGATTATAAACCATAACTTATTGGGGAATAAACCTAAACCACTCAGTGAACATGTGAGTAAACTGCTCAGATGTATTTATGTAGATTTACTAGCCCTGTTTATTCTGAGGGACAGTTCTTTATATATTGTTCTGAGTCCTCTTGTATGTGAAGTTTTGTGAGTTTGGGTTTCCTTATGAAAAACTGCTTCTACTTTTGGAGTAGAAAATGGTAGAACCTGTTTTGTGAATATTTTGTACTGGGGTTTTTCTGCCCTTATTTCTTATTCTGATCTCATCTGCTTCCTTTAAGATAGGATGAATTTCTAAAAATTTCTGATCTGTATATAGTATACTTTGGTTATCATTTCTGTTATGAATTTATTTATTAAAAATGATCTTTTCTGTCATTTCAGAGGAATTTGGAGTAGATGGAAAACAGGCCCTTTTTTAACCCTTGTGGTTGGTAGTGTTTATGAAGAATTAAAAAAATTTCTGTCACTTGATTTGGTCATTTGGTTTCTAGGAATTTATCCTGAAAAAGTAATTGGTTAGAGAATTGTGGGAAAATGGAAGCTGGGGGCTCATTGCACTTAGCCTTAGTTGCACTTAGTTGCACTTAATTGGTTGGATTCCTCTGAAGTGAGTTTAGCATACAAGATGTTTAGAAAGGAGTACCTTCAGGATCAACACTTCTGTGGAAGGTGGGAAATGGAACCAGAATTGGACAGAGGGAGAAGTTAAGCTGTGACAGCCTTGGCCAACTCCATGGAGAGCTCTGGAGCTAGAATGGTCTTTCAGAAAGCTATCACAAGTTGGGTCATGATGACCAGGCCTTTTTCATCTGTCTGTCTTGTTGGTTGGTCTCTCTGTCTGTCTAGGCTGCATTGGGGGTCTTAGTTTAGTTGCAGCATGTAGGATCTTTTGGTGTGGCTCATGGACTTAGTTGCCCCAAGGCATGTGGGATCTTCATTTCCCAACCAGGGATTGAACCTGCATTCCCTGCATTGAAAGGCAGATTCTTAACCACTGGACCACCAGGGAAGTCCCTTCATGCCTTTATACTCCATCCATTCCATATTGGACGTGGAAAGGAGTGTGACGTCAGGCGGGATTGCTCTCTGCAGCTTAGAGCAGACACTGCTAGAAGCTCTCTTTTGTAGGCATGACTGCCAACAGGTCTTCCTTGAAATGGGATTCGAATGGTTCTTAAGTGTCTACCATACCTCCTTAACCATACCTCCTTTCCACTCCTACACCCATAGCTAAACCATCAACCTCAGCTGAACTAAACAGCTCATGGGGCTGTCAGACAGACTTAAGCCATGTAGATGGTACTGTGATTTCTCTTCTTTGGGTTGAAGAACCCCTGAGAGACCAGGGCTGAAGGACAGGTGTGTATATTTTTGTGAATATATGTGATGGATTATAGAAGCAGTTTAATTAATAGAAATTATATGTAAATATTTGTGAATATGTATGGAAAATTATAAGAATAGTCATTGTTGATTGCTTAAAAAATCAAGTAGTAAAGTACCTCAGAATAAACAGCAAAATTATGAAAACATAGAAATTATATTTTAAGAGACTTGGTGTATAGATAGTAAAAATTCCAGAAGTAAAAAAATTTACTGAAAGAAATATAATAATCATTCCTATATTAGTATAAAAACCTTGAAACTTTTTACAAATAGTTTCTTCATGGTTTGTGGTGAGCTGAAAGTTTCCCTGAAATCGCACCCAATGATAGATTTTTCTCCCTTTCTTCCTTCCTTCAACTAATTGGTCATTTGTTGCAGTGTCTATCACTTTTGGGCAAAATAGATTTTGGTTATTTTAGTTCCTCAGTAATTATAAAATAGCTTCCTGAAAATCTTCCTGACCCAGGGATTGAACCCGTGTCTCTTATGTCTCCTGCTTTGGCAGGCAAGTTCTTGACCACCAGCGCCACATGGGAAGCTCAATTATAAATAGTTAGGGCAAGTTACATGCCAGGAATTGCTTAGGTGGTAAGTTAATGTTGGCAAGGTTTTTTTCCCCCCATCTTTCTGTGTTTCTTGGGTGGAATGACAACACTCCATCCTAGTGTATATATATACACACCATTTGAAAATCATTGATTTGTTCAGTCTATTTGTGGCTTCCCAGGTGGTGCTAGTGGTAAAGAACCCGCCTGCCAATGCAGGAGATATGAGAGACGTGGGTTCGATCCCTGGGTCAGGAAGATCCCCTGGAGGGGAGGATATGGTAACCCTGGAGAATCCTATGGACAGAGGAGCCTGGCAGGCTGCAGTCCATGGGGTTGCAGAGTCGGGCATGACTGAAGTGACTACACACACACACACACACACACACACACACACACACACACACACACACACACACACACACACACACACACACACACACACACACACACACACACACACACACACACACACACACACACACACCCCACCCCCCACCCTCCCTCCCCCCAATGGTTGAAAACTGTGTAAGTGAATGGAAAGGTAACAAATGTTCATTGAAGAAGTGTCTCATTTATAAATCTGTATTTGCAGTGTGGAGCATTTACTTTTGTTACTTTGAACTTGAGGGCTTGTATTTATTTTTCAGTTCATCATCTCCCAATCGGTAATCATAGGGGCTTCTTATACTTCACTTTTAGTTACTTTGGAGGGCATCGTACTGTTTCTGTAAGGGCTCTTCAAATTCTAAAAAATGGGTATTTTATGAAATCATGTAATACATATTGTTACTCAGATTATTGGAAACATATCCTCCAAGTTTGTTGACATTCCCATTAAAGGGGCAGTCCAGGTTTGGTATGGTGACTGCACAAAATTGTCAGGGACCTTGACTTCTGGTTATAATGTTTTTAGGCAAAAATATTGAAGACTTGATTCTAGCTTAAACAATAGGGAGATTTATTCCCTCACATGTGAAGTTGAAAGTTCATAGGTAAGTTGTGCACTGGACATAGTTCAAAGTCTAGAAGCATCCAGGTACTTTCCATCTTACTGCTATCCTCTATGGGCTTCACCTTAAGACTAGTTTCCCTTGTGGTGGCAGTTGGTGACACATGCTTCCTTGTTCACATCTAGTAGAAAAAACACCTTTGCCATGATTGTCCTCTATAAAATCAGTCAAACTTTGTTTGACTCCTCTGTCTAGCTTGATAAGTTGGTTTGCTTTTCTTTTTAGAAAACAGTTAATCATTGATCTTTATGAGCTACCTACACTCTTGTATGAAGAACTAGAAAACAGAAGATGGCTTGAAATCAACTCTTCCTCAAAGCTGGAAAAATTACAATCTAAATGTCCTTTCAGTGGTTGATTGGCATCATCTTTGTGCAAAAAAGATGAACATTATTCAAATAAGTTATTTGTTCAAATATGTGGTGATGATTTGGGGTGATGCTTCTCTAATTGGAACATATTCAGAAAGTTCTCTATAGTGTTCATTTTGGCAGCTTATTGATAAACAGTATGAAAACATTATACCTGGGATTTTAGATAATATTAATTTCCACCCACCCCATTTTTATCAGTATAGAATTTTATTACACTTGTTGAAAATCTTATCTACTTTGTGGTGAACTAAGAGGGATGTTGGGGGGTGGGTAGGAGGGAGGCTCAAGATGGTAGGGAGTGATAGATGTATACTTAGAGCTGGTTCATATTGTTATATAGCATAAACTATTGTAAAGCAATTATCCTTCAATTAAAAAAGAAAATACAATAACAAGAAAAGGCGGGGAGTTCAAGTCTTTTGAGCATGAACTAACCTGTTCTAGTTAGTTCAGTTAGTTCTAGTTAGTTCTAGTTCTAGTCTTTTGAGCATGAACTAACCCAAGTTCTCCTTACTTGACCCTGCAATATACCCTTCTCTGTTCCAAACTCCTCCCCCCCAACACACACACACACACACACACACACAATTATTAACACTTGTTGAAATTTTTATTTGAAAATATGTTAATTCTTTTTGAAGACTGAGGTATAATTGATATATAACTGAGTTTCAGGTGTATAACATGATGATTTGATATTTGCATATACTGTGGAATAATCATAGGAAGCCTTGTTAATACCTGTCACCATATACAGTTACAATTTTCTCCCCTTGTGTTGAAAGCTTTTAAGATTCACTCTGACTAGCTACAAATATGCAATATAGTATTATTAATTATAGTCATCTTGCTGTACATTACATTCCCATGACTTACTGCTCATGAGTTTTTTATAAAAAGGTCTCTCTCCCAATTCTAATGTGCGTGTATAACTTCACCTCCTCCTCACTGGTCTTCCCTGGTAGCTCAGCTGGTAAAAAGTCTGCCTGTGGGAGACCTGGGTTCAATCCCTGGGGTTGAGAAGGTCCCCTGGAGAACGGAACGGCTACCCACTCCAGTATTCTAGCCTGGAGAATTCCATGGACTGTATAGCATGGAGTCACAAAGAGTCAGACATGACTGAGAAGCTTTCACTTCACACTGAGTTTTTGGGTTGATAAGAGCTACAGTTGACCATTCAACAGCATGGGTTTGAGCTGTGCAAGTCCACTTACATGAGAGTTTTTTTCAGTACATATATGTACTACTGTGTTTATGATCTGTGGATGTGAAGTCTGCACATGCAAGGCCGACTGTGGTATCTGATCACAGTGGATTTTGGTATCTTTGGTGGTCCTGGGACTAATTCACTGCAACTACCAAAGGACAGTTGTACTGTAATTGTTTCCAGAGCCTGTTACACCTCGAGATGGATTTAGGGGTGTGAGATGCCCTATTTTGGATTGAGTTGGAGTTTGGAGTAAGGTAATTGTGGACTGGGTTTTTTGTTGATAATATGAAAGGAAGCAGCACAAAAGGAATACAGTTGACCCTTGAACAACAGGGGTTTCAACTTTACAGGTCCACTTACACATGAAATTTTTTCAGTAGTAAATACTACAGGTACTACATGATCTGTGGTTGGTTAAATCGAAGGATACAGAGCTGCGAATACAGAGGGTCGACTATAAGTTATGCGAAGCTTTTCTGCTGTGCAGAGGTCAGTGCTCCTTATACTCTGTGTAGTTCAGTAGTCAAGTGTAGTTCCTTTGCTCTTTGAGGTGGTTGAGCTCTTAAGTCACGTTTGGAAATGAGATCAGTTGTTAGAACAAATGACCCATCACATTCTAGGATATTAATCCATTTATCAGATTTGGTTTCTGAGGAAGGTCAGGTTGATTCAAGAGGTTGCCTGGATTCTGTTCAAAGAAACATGACCATGGTTTTACTTCTTGAACTCCTATATATTTGACATTTGTTAACTTGTTCTGACTATGAGTAGGGATGCCCCAGAGTTCTAAATTGTTTGATTTTAAATATCAATGTCTGCTCGGAGGTGGGTATGATCGGAGTTTTGTATGATCAAGTTTCTTGAAACTTGTATTACTTGATTTTGAAATGGGACAGAATTGTGACTCATGCTTATTTTCTCTCTTTCAGCATTATCTGCATACCAGAGGTACTACAGTTTACAATCTGACTACTGGAAGGTTAGTGCACATTTGCATGCCCCTACCCTTTTCTTCCCTCCCTTTCTCTTCTCTGGCAGATCACTGCTGGTTATACCCAAAATGAATTGTGCTCTTGCTTTTTTGTTTCTTTTGTTAATTGCAATTATTCTAGGGAAAAGGGATTGGAAAAAGAAAAGTGCATGTTCTTGATTTGCTCTGTCTTACATGATTCAGTTCAGTTGCTCAGTCATGTCTGACTCTGCGACACCATGGACTGCAGCATGCCAGGCTTTCCTGTCTTTCACCACCTCCTGGAGCTTGCTCAAACTCATGTCCATCGAGTCAGTGATACCATCCAACCATCTCATTCTCTGTTGTCCCCTTCTCCCGCTTTCGCTCTTTGCCAGCATCAGGGTCTTTTCCAAGGAGTCAGTTCTTCTCATCAGGTGGCCAAAGTATTGGACCTTCATCTTCAGCATCAGTCCTTCCAATGAATATTCAGGACTGATTTCCTTTAGGACAGACTGGTTTGATCTGCTTGCAGTCCAAGGGACTCTCCAGAGTCTTGTCCAACACCACAGTTCAAAAGCATCCATTCTTCGGCGCTCAGCTTTCTTTTATAGTCCAACTCTCACATCCATACATGACCACTGGAAAAACCATAGCTTTGACTAGATGGACCTTTGTCAGCATTTAGTTGTCTCTGCTCTTTAATATGCTGTCTAGGTTAGTCATAGCTTTTCTTCCAAGGAGCCAGTGTCTTTTAATTTCATGGCTGCAGTCACCATCTGCAGTGATTTTGATTACCTTGTATTAAAAGAATTAGTTTATTCTGAATTAATTTGTTGGCCAAAGATGATCCAAAGTGTGGGAGTTAAAGCCAACAAAACCAAATGGCAACAAAATGATTCTTTGGTTTTCTTAAGTTGATATTTAGGTATAAAAGAAGTTTGGAGATGGGTGTATTAGGTTGAAAAGGGAAGGCAAAATGAAAATCTTTATTGCTATAGTCTGTCTGTAATTGAAGCTCTAAGAACAACTGAAGCTAACCACTTTTTAAAAAATTAGTTAATTTATTTTAATTGGAGGCTAATTACTTTACCCTATGGTGGTTTTTGCCATACACTAACATGAATCAGCCATGGGTGTACATGTGTCCCTCATCCCAGACCCCTGATACTTAAATGAAGAACTGTGCACAGCAATGAAATAATTTATTTTCTTAGATTAAGCAGTGCCTGGACAGATTAATCTTTCATATCATATTTACTTTTAGGTATAAGTTTACTGATCAGTGGGGTTTCTTCACCTGAATTGCCATTTTAGATTTTTAAGGTGGATTTTATTTTTTTATGTTGCCTAATTTATCTTTGTTTTTGACGTGTAGAGGTTTTAACAGTATATTGTGATAATTTTAAAAAATGTGTTAAAGATATCTTTTCTAGTCTTTTTAAAGCTTATTACAGTATAATTAAATATTGCAAAATTCACCTGCTTTAATTTTGCGATTCAGTGACTTTTAGTAAATTTCCAGAGTTGTACAGCCATAATCAAAGTTATTTTAGGACTTGTCCATCTCACCATAAGAAAACCTCATGCCCAATCCCTGACAAGCACTGATCTACTTTCTCTTTGTATGTATTTCTATTTTCTGGGTATTTTCATATGAATGGAATCATAATATGTAGTCTTTTGTGACTGACTTCTTTTACTAAGCATATATTTTTAAGAATGATCCTTGTGTAGCATGTATTAATACTTCATTCCTTTTTATTAATACTCCATTGTGTGACTATACCACATATTTTTTATTCATTCGTCAGTTGACGAACATTTTAGTTGTCTCCAATTTTTGACTGTTGTGAATAGTGCTCCTGTGAATATCTATATACGAGTTTTTGTGTGGACATACAGTTTCAGTTCTCTTTGGTAAATAATCAGGAGTAGAATTGCCAGGTTATAACGTAAATCTATGTTTAACATTTTGAGAAACTGCCAGAATTATTTTCTAGAGTAGCTGTACCATTTAACATTCTCACCGACAGTGTTTGAGGATTTTGGTTTCTCCATATCCTCATCAGCACTAGAAATTGTCCAGCTTTTGAGTGTATCTCTCGTAGTGGATAGGGAATAGTATCTTATAGTCTTTATTTGCATTTTCCTAATGACTGATGTTGAGCATTGTTTAATGACCACATTAGCTGTTTGTATATATTGTTTGATGAAATGCCTATTTAAACCCTTTGCTGATTTTTACTTTTTTTTTTTAATTAGTGTGTTGTAAGAGTTCTTTGTACATTCTGGATACAAGCCTTTATTGGATATAATTTGCAAATATTTTCTCAAAATCTGTGGCTTATTTTTCACTGTCTCAACAGTATAGTTTGAAGTGCAAAAATTTTAAATTGTGATGACATCCAGTTTCTCAACTGTTTGTTTCATTGCTTGTGCTTTTGGTTTTGTAGCTAAGAAACCTTTGCCTAATCCCATGTCATGGTGATTTCTTCCATTGTTTATTCAGTCAGTCGCTTCGGTACAGATAGTACTGCAATAAATAGTACAAGTTTCTTTTTGTATTTTTGTTAGTGGTTCTTTGGTATAAGTGGGATTGCTGTGAACTTAGTGAGTGGTACACACTGTGTGAACCACTCATTTCAGCTCTCTTGTTTTTCTTTGGTCTTAACTAAGAAAATCTATGTCAGACTTTTTGTGAAATCTGATGAATGAGAAATCATGTCTCCAGTCGTTTTAACTTGCATTTTCTTAATTGAATTTTTAATGGAAGTTTAAAGACTATTCATATTTTCTTTAAAGTATTTGTTCATCTTTCTTGCCAGTTTTTCAGTTGGACTGTTGTTTTATTTCTCTGTTTTATATAGCTATATTTTATGTATGATGCATATTTATCCTTTATCTGTGATAAAAGTTGCAGTTTTCCACTTGTTTTAATTTGCTTTTGTGTTTGTTTTTGTCCATGGAGAAGTTATTTCTATCTAGTCAAACTTTTCAGTATTTCCTAAACTGCATCTGCATCTTGAATCATAAGATAGTTTTTTCCTTACTTCCAGACGTTAGGTAGAATTCACCTACATTTTGTTTTAGTACTTGAATAGTTTTAGGTTTTTAATTTAAGTTTGATCCATTTGGTATTTATCCCTAATTTGTAGTGTGTGGAACATCTAAGTTTATTCTTTTCCTGTGGTTAATTATCTCAATACAATATATTGTTTAAAAAAATTCATCTTTTCCCTACTAATTTGAGATGTTGCCTTAGTTGTATGGTAAATTTTCATATGCAGATTTGTCTATTTATAGTTTCTCTGGTCTATTTCATTAGTCTGTGCATGAATTAATACTGTACTAATTTACATATAGAGGTTTTGCAGTATGTTTATACTGTGCTTAGTTGCTCAGTTGTGTCCGCCTCTTTGCAACCCAATGGACTGTAGCCCACCAGGCTCCCCTGTCTGTGGGGATTCTCCAGGCACGAATACTGGAGTGAGTTGCCATGTCCTCCTCCACGGGATCTTCCCAACCCAGGAATCGAATCCAGGTCTCCCACATTGCAGGCGGATTCTTTACCGTCTGAGCCACCAGGGAAGCCCATGTTTATACTACATATGCAGTATGTATATGGTACTGCTACAACATCCTTTCCCCATTGTTGTTTTTAGGGTTTCCCTGACTGTCCTTTCTTTGTTGCTTGTTTTTCCACATAAACTAATTAACCCCACAAAAAGAGCTGATTTTTCTTTCCAGCTTTTTTGAGGTATAATTTACATTACTTTAAATGTTCGAAGTATGATTACTTTAAGTTCTTTTTTTTTTTTTTTTTTTTTTTGTAAATAACAATCCAAGAATGGAAATGAACATCCTTACTCTAATGACGACTAACTTCAAAAATTTTCGGTTTAAAGTCAGCATTTTTCTTTTGTATGAAAATACTTTTCCAGTATCCTTTGAGATAATTTTATGTTTTTTCTCCTTAAATCAGTCTTGCATTTCTGAAGTAAATTCAAATTAGCAGTAAGTTTTTATTGTTGTTAGTTATATCTGGATTGGGATTGCTAATATATAACATCTTTGCATCTTTGTTCATAATTGAAATTGCTCTATATTTTTTCTTTCTTGAGTTGTCTTTACCTAATGCCTAGGAGCTGGTTTCTACATTCCAAGGACCTGGTCAGAGGAAGAGAAAGCAGAGTGCAGCAGCCTTTCTTTGAAGGGAATCATGAGATTTTACACATCCCTTCATATGCATCTCACTTACGAGAACATAATAATTTGAAAACTCAGCTGCAAAAGAGGCTGAGAAATATCTTATCTTGTTTGATCGTGATAATAGAACTGCAAACAATGTTGTTGCAAAATAGACTATATTAATAATAGAAATTAATTCATATTATTGGTAAATAAGGGAATTATGTCTGTATGCTGTGAAAGCCTTGTTGTTTCACTTAACTTTTTTTCCTGGATAATGGGGAGTGTAAGTATGAACTTAAGTAGGAAAGGGGAAAAACTCTCAGCTTGACTGCTGCACTGGTAGCAGGAGTTCTGTTGTCTAGATTTTAAGAAAATTAAACACAGGTATCTTTATCCAGGGCTCTTCCTCAGAAAGGCACATCCATAGCTATTTTTATCATTTCAGCACCTGCCAGCTCTGCTCTAATTAAATGATTGCCAGCATTGCAACTTCATTGTTCATTTTTAATATCGACCATGACAGCCTATCACCATGCTGAGCTTCTTGCTTGAGTGATTCAGGCTGTCTCCAGGTTCTGGTCACTACTTCTGAAATCCTCTGCTTATGTTGCATGGGATTTGAGTAGTCTTGTCCACAGCTCTTTTGTTTTTGAATCTTCTTATCTTTAATGTGTAATTTTTTTTTTAACAGCATGTGAGACTTACTGAGAATTTTATGTATCATATTCTATCCATTGAGCAATTACCATGTACTAGATATGTTTTGTTGTTGGTGATGGATACATTGCCTCCTTTACTTCTCACAAATATCCCAAGTGTCATGTTGTTATTTTAAG